AGAAGCGGAAGCGGGGGGCGTTTCCGGCGGTCGGCGGTGGCCATGTTGGAGCGGCGGCGCAGCGGCGGGTGTCGCGGCGGCCGGTAGGTTGGGGCCGGCGGGGCCCGGGCCCCGCGCTGCCGGGCGGGGGCGCTGCCGAGCCGGGCCCGAGCGGAGCGGAGCGGACCCCGGCGGGGCGGCCCTCGCCCGCTGTCTGCACCCAACACCTTCCCGCACCCCCGGCGCCTGCAGCCCGGCGGCCAGTGCCCCGGGGAGGCCTCCCTGGCGGCCGCCGTGCGGGCCCTGCCGCCCCGCGCCCCTCGGCGCGCCCAGCCGGTGCCCCGGGAGGAGCCGTGGAGCCCCGGGAGGAGCCGTGGAGCCCCGGGAGGAGCCGTGGAGCCCCGGGAGGAGCCGTGGAGCCCTCCTGTCCCGGGGGAGCTCGCGGCACCGCAGCCCTTTGGCGCTTCCCGAGGCCTCGTCCCCCGGCACCGGGCTGGCTGAACAACCCCCGGCCGTCCCTCCGGCCGCCGCATTGACACCGCGCGGCGCGGGCACCGCGGCCCTGACCGGCAGCAGCCCCGGCAAGGCGCCCGGGCCGTGCCCGCCGCGGCCCGGAGCTCCTCGCAGGAGCCCGTGTGTTCTGCTGTTAAAAGCACGTCGGCAGTTCTGCTTCCTCCCTCTCCCACGTCAGCATTTCCCTCTGGCACCCTGGCCACCCCGTGCCCTGCACAGCCTCGCTCTGCCCTGTGCTCGTAGCTCCTATTTGACATGGCCCACCTCCCCCTTCACCAGCGGTGCCGCCTCCAGCGCTTCCTTCCTGCCTCTGCTCCCCAGCCGGAGATGCACGGAGTGTTGCCAGAAGCGACGTTATCCCTTCTCCCGATCCCCCTCCTGCTGCCGTGTCTCCGGAGCGCGCGGGGGAGACGAGCCCGTCGCGGGGACCCCGCTAACCCCCGTGATGGGTTAAACCACAGGCTGTGTCTGCTCTCCGTGCCGTTCCTGGCAGCCTGTCCACGAGCCCCGTGTTTCTGCCACGGGGTTAACCTGACACAGGAGCTGTCCCTTAGTCGCTCTGCTCACGTGCTCGTTTTCCTGTTGGGACCTTCTCACCTGCGCCCTGCCCTCTGCAGAAACACCAGCATTTCCCCGAGGAAGATTCTCCGCTGAACACGGCTGATGAGGTTAAGACAGTGAGGAATTCATAACCTCTTGCCACTAGCTGAGGAGTTGGCTGGGCAACCAGCGCAGCGTGCGATAGTCTGAGTCCTCACGGGTTCCTGCCTCGTTCCTCAGCTTCCTTTATATTAAAAAGAGCAATTATTGCTTCTGTTTGAGGCCCATAGTCGCCTAGTGCCTGTTTTGGTGAGGCAAGCGCCGTCCCTCCGGCTGTTACACCAGGCCCTGGTGCTCTCTGCTTCCTCCTTGCTGCCCTTTTGAGTTTCCTGCTTCCTTCTCGCTTGGCAGCTGGGTTGACAGCAGTTTGCTGGGACAGCGTCTTGTGGACCATTGCTCAGACATGGGAGAAACAAGGAGCAGAGCTGTCTGTCCCTCTGCAGCGCTTGGCGTCTACGAAGCGCGACTGAAACAGCCTCCAGCTCTGCTCTCAGCTCTTCAGAAGGATGCTGCACATTTGGCAGGGATTCAAAATCAGTTTTGAGCAGAATCGGATAGAAAATTGAACGTGACACTGGGATAGACTTGAGGAACTCGGGCTGTGTGGTTCACTGAGGAGTGTTGCCGTGGCTTGGTCGTGCTGTTCTCAGTACGTGCACAGGGAAAAGATTTATGGAGGGCTGCTTTACAGAGGCAAAATGAGATCTGATTGCTAGAAGCTGAGGCTTATCACTCTCGAGCTGGAAATGAGCTGCACGTTTCACTGAGTTAAGCACTGGAACTGTTCATTCTGGGATGGGTTGGATGGGATTGCCTGAAACCTTTGGGGTTTGACTTACTTCAGCAGCCTAGATGCTTTAGTTTTACTGCCAAGACAGAACAGTGACAGATTTGAGTTATGCACAGAATCAGACCTGATGTTTGCGAGTAGCCAGGTCTAGTCTTAATGGTTTCAGGCCCCTGCTTAAAAATGTGAGGTGATTCCAGTTGCCATAAACTAACTGTCTTCTCTCTCCTTTTGAGGTGTCCCGGGTTGTTTTTCCAGTAACTTGGATCTTTCGAAGCACCTCCTTGCCTAATGCCATGAATATTGCAGTGAACAATGTGGAAGAAAAAGCTGTCCATTCCTGGTCGAGAATTTCCTCTGCGGGACAGAAAGTGCTGGAGGAAGCTCTCCGAGTCTTCAACCCGATGTCTAAGGACCTCTCAGACACGGAGACCCAGCTGGTGGCATTTATTCAGAGCCTCAAGGAGGAGGGCTACCAGCCCACGATTCTGAGGAGTAAAGATGTGTATGGTTACAGTTCCTGTACAGCAGACACCCCTAAGCAAACCAAAGGGAGCACGCAGCGGGTTCCCACCGCCGCCACAGCCACGTCTGACCCTGCTAAAGCTCCAGCTCGGAGCACTGCAGCTGTGACAAAGGTGTCTCCGTCAGCCACGGGCGTTTCGGTGACCTCCAAGGTCTCTGCTAAACCTGCCTCTAAGGCGAGTTCCACAAACCTGCTGCTGAACTCCCTCAAGCAGACGAGGTCTGGCACGTCCAAGGCCTCGGCAGTAGGTTTTCCTGCCAACATGTATCCCGAGGTGTATCCAGCAATGAGACTGTCTGTGGTTCTGGAAGCCCTGGTGCCTCTCAAAGCCACCGCGTCCTGCTTGGAATCCAAGTGCAAACAGGGACGTCTGGGAATCTCGCCCTCGGACCTTAAACTCCTGCAGGCTTCGAGCCCACCAAGGGAGTCTTCCTCGGGCAAGGCCTCTAAAACAAAAGAAACGAAGGGGAGTAAGCGCTTGATGAGGAGGAAAGCACCAGATCCCACCAGCCTCGCGCTGAACCTTCTGAAGGGACCAAAGGGCGGCGTGCTGCAGGAGAGCAACGCTTGCAAAGCCTCGGGCGTCCTCAACGGGAGAGTCACAGGGAGCTCCTCCCAAGGCGGCACCGGCACAACGCAGCCCAAGGCTTTGAAAATCAAAGCTAAGGAGGCTCCCGTGGGGAAGACGGAGTGGAAGGACAGCAGCAGCCACCAGGAGACTGTCGGACCGAAGAGGAAAAGAGCTGCAGAGGTGAGAGAAGCGCCGCAGCAGAAGAGAGCAAATACCATTCCTGTCCCAAATAAACCTCAGCAGGCTCAGAGCACTTTGAATTTGCTGAAATTCCAAGCAATCAAGGTGGACAACTCTTCCGATGACGAAGTGAGGAGGAGAGCACAGAAAATTCTTAGGGTCAACCTGTCCCCCGTGATCCGAATTCAGCCCTTGTCTCATTCTCACAGTGTCCCCTGAATTTCTTCACTTTGTCACTTCTTTTTTTCTGTAAGTATGAGCCAGGCGCCAGAATGCAGAGAAATTTCAGAGCAACTTTGGATCTCTAGGTGACCACACGTCGACTTAACACCTGCAGATGGAGCAGTCCGCTGTTTCTGGCTGTTTCTACCAGTGCTGTGCAGAGCATAAGGACGAAGCCACGTTTACGAGGACGGCATGGGCACTCCTTGCCCCCGGCAAGCCGAGCAGGTCAAAGCGTTCGCTTTCTGCGGGGTCTTTTCGGAACGTGCCAGGCTGTGCTCTCGTGCAGAGGGAGAACACGCGACTTTCTCGTGACATTGATGCACTGTGACATTTGCTCTTTTTCAAGCTGTACATGTACTGGGTTTATTTTGATCAAATTTTATAACTTTATTATCTATATAGCTATATAACTATATATGTGCATATTGCCCAGCACCTGTGGGAAGATGCACTTCCTCCACCCCTCTGGGATTGGGTTCAATAGCTTTTGCTCCCCTTCCCCTTCAGCCAGTCTTTTGTTGAAAGGTGCCAGGATTTCTTTGTGATTCAGTGTTGCGACGGTCTGGTCTGGGCTCTCTCCAGCAGCTCAGAAGCAGGCAGAGTTCCAGCCACTTGTTTGACTCCAAAAACGCCATGCCATTCTGGAGAAAGACCAGCTGATAGTTGAGTATTGTTTTAATTGTACTTTTGGTATTACCACCGCACAGAAGCAGGGGGTGTTGCTGGGCTGTTGCCTGCAGGTCTGCCTGACACTTCCAGGTGCCTCCTCCGTTTGTTGGTAGCAGAAGCTCTGAACTCGTCCTACAGGTTTGGCCCCAAAGAGCAGTTCTGTTTTAGATCCCAGTGCTGTTTTGCTCCCTTGTCCCGCGGGTGCAAATTTAGAAAATGAACTTGTGACTGTTGCCAGTTTAAGAGCTGGGACTGTTAATAGCAATTACTGTCTCTTTCCTGCCCACAAATGAAGCGTTTTGCAGTTGCTGAATGTTTCAGGAGCAGATTTTTGGTGCCAGTAGAGAGGAGGCCTGCTGTGCTAGAAGGTATTAGATACATCCTGCCTCTCCCTGGGTTCAGTGGGGTATGTGAGGCTGAATCAAAACAGAGGGCTGGGGAGGAAATGTGCCAGCACTTAAAACAAACATAGCGAGTTTTATGCTATCAGTTTGTGGGAGTAGGAGAGAAGTTCCCCACCAGCACTGACATATCATGATGGGCATCAGCTCTGCTGCTTCTGGGATGTCTCGAGAGGGTTTGTGGCAGGCGGGCCAGCTCTCCGGCCCTGCCTGTGCCCGGGAGGCACCGTGGAACCGCTGCGAGGAGGGACCGGGCGCGAGCAGGGACAGGGCACAAGGAGGGACAGGACACATCTCTCCCTGCACGCAGGGGATCCCGCAGTCCCGCAGCGGCGGGAGGCCGAGCAGGGGCCTGGCTCTGTGTCCAGACCTCTGCAGCAGCAGTAATCCCCTTGTTCTCTCTCCAGCTCGAAGGACCAGCTGCCTGACCTGGTAGTCTCTGGTTATGGGCTGAAAGGCTGAGCTCCTTTGGGAAACTGCAGCTCCCTGCGGTTCCAGCTCCTCTCTAGCACCTATCTGGATTTCAGTGCTTTGTGAAAAGGGTCAGTATCTGATCCCAGCGCACAGAGGAAAGCCGAAGCATGTAGAGCAGAAAAAACACCAAAAAACACCCCAAGGGAGCGAGAAACTGAGTCTTGAGGCAGAGCTGTGGCTCTCCCTACACACCAGGTAGGCAGCACTGGTAGCAGGGTGGAGATTTTCCCTCGGGAGCCGGTTGCAGACTCTCGATCACGCGCTCGGGCTCTGTGTTGTGTTTGCATAGCTGCATTCCTGTCAGAGATCATAATTTGCTGCAGTGTTTGAGGCTGGCCCGGGAATGCCGCTGGTTGGCTGGAGAGCAGGAGGAAATATTTTCTTCTGCTTCTGTGTTTTTGAAATGCCCTGGCAGAGAGATCCCCTTTCCTGACATGCTGGATGAAGAGAGGTCCTGCATCGCTGCTGCCCAGCCAGGGTTGCTTTGTCTCTTTTGTTTCCATCCCTTCAGACCCTTCTCATTCCCACGCTCTCAAATGCCAGGTCTTCAAGCCTTGCACTGGGGTTTCTCTTCAGGCTCTTTCCTGAGGAGGGCTCTGCTCTCCAGCCGGTGCTGCGGAGGCCTGACAGGCTGTTCCCGTGGCTTCCCCTCACTCCCAGCCCCATATAAGGGCACCCAGAAGTGTCTCCAGAGCCTCTTTCTGTGCAGCGAGCAGCTGTCCTAGCTGAGTGCCTGGGCTCTGGGGGAAAGAGCAGCTGAGCTTATGCTGAGGTTGCTTTTCCTGCTGCCTGCAGAGCCTCCGGGAGGCTGGGCGCCTGAGGCCAGCACACCAGGTCACCTCCCTGGCCCTTGTCACACTTCTCTGTGCTGCGTTGCTCCCTGCCTCCTTGCAGGTCCCTGTTGCCTCTTGTGTTTCACCAGTCTGAAGCTTTGCCAGCCGCGGCGTTGGCTTGTCCTGCTGCTAAACACACCGCGCAGAACGTAGCTGCCTTAGCCCGGCTCTGCCTTTCTAGGCACTGAGCTGAGCTCTGAAAACACCTGCTAGTGACAGCTCGCCCGGTGTCCCCCCAGGCCACCAGGGACTTGTCCGTGACCCATCAAATCCCTGGCAGCTTTTCTGCTCATCTGTAACGAGACCACAGGGCACCTGAGCTGACTGGGCAGCACCGGAGCTCTCGGCGGCGCGCAGGTCTGGGTTGCTGATGTCCGTCACGCTCCTTCTCTGCCTCCTGATGTCTCCTCCTGTGTGGGTGCTTTGCATTTGGCTTGCAGGAACGCAGCTTGTTAACCACAGAGGGTTTTGATAGCTTCTTGTGCCAGTGTCACCAAGCGCTGCCTGGCAGCCGCTTCCCAGCGAGCCCAGGGTTGGCACCCGGGTCCCTGCGGCCGCTCAGTGGTAGGTCTCGCTGCGCTCGGTCTCGTGGCCGTGCCCAGGTACTCCTGGCATCTGGGCCCTTTGACACGCACGTGCAGGAGGCGCAGAAGGGGCCGTGTTGCATTGCCTGCGCGTTGGCTGGTGTGGGGAACATCAAGGGCTTGATCAAAACAAGTCTTAAGGCTTCATCTAAACAGAGATCTCAAGTGGTCCCTTCCAACCTAGTTTTTCTCCATGACTACGATTAGATCATTTGCCTTCCAGGGATCCTCAGCAGCAGGAGCTGGCACAGCAGGTAGAGAATGTGTTGCCCGGGGGGCTGTGGTCTCTGCCCAGTGTGCGCCTTGTTCAGACCTGTTTCTGTATTAGTCATTTTGCATTCATCCAAGTGCCTAACCTGGCCTGTGCCGTTCCCGGGCACCGAGACAGCCAAGAGCTTTGGACACGCTCTCTCAGGAACGTGTTCCCCACGTGGATTTATGCCCCTGTCACCGCAGGAATGATTCAGAGTGGAGAGGACTGCTCTGCACACTGAGCTTGTGGAAATCGTTTCTTCTGTTCAGCTGCTGAGCAGCAGGAGTTTGTGCTTCGCCTGCAGCACACCAGCTTGCTGGGTGCGTCAGATGCCCGTCAGTGAGACCTGCAGGGAGAGCAGCTTTTCCAGCAGGCAGGTGAAGGGGGATCTGACATCATGTACCAGGTTGGAATCAATTAGCAGAAACACTGATTTAAGGCTCATGTGCACAGGGATCAAGTCTCACCTTCTGCCTCTATTTTCAGCTGGATTCCTCCCTGCAAGCCACGTAACGAGGTGCTTCTGTTTCCAAACTGTGTTCTGCCCCAGAGCCAGCTGCAGCAGTGACCCACATGCAGAACTTCTTAAACCCTCTTCTGCAGAATAAGAAGGGATTCCCTTGTTGCTCCTGTTTTCTAGCCCACTGGCAGAACTCTAAATGTCCTGAGATTTTAGTGTAGGAAGAGGTGTGTCCTGCAAGGTATAGGAAGTGCTGATGGAGCTGCATTCCTGTCGGAGCGGAGCATCCTGCTGCGGCCAGGATCCCGGGACGAGCGGAGCCCTGCTGCGCTCGGGACCCCGCACAGCGGTGAGGGACTGCGCTGGCATCCCCGCACCCTGCCCAGCACCCCTCGTTGTGCCCTGGTGCAGAGCGCAGCAAGTCTCAGAGCAGCCCGTCACCCGTGCTGTGTGTGCTGCGCCCTGGTGCTGCCGGAGCCCCCCTGGGCACTTCCCCGCCGGGGGAAGGTCCCTCTGCCCCATCCGTGGTGTGAGGGGGCTCTGTCCTGTCTGTTGGGCCTGAGCACAAACATGAGCAGCAATTTGGCCCCTTGCCTTGTGTCTCTTGAGCTGGTTCCACGGCCAGGCCTTGCCAGCGGGTGGGAAGGTGCCCGTCTCTGGATGCTTCCCCTAGGTCGAAGTGTCCCGTCCTGTCTGGAAGCAGGGCCTGGCACCAGCCCTGTGTGCTGCTGCAGGACAGACTCTCTTCTCTGCAGCTAACAGCAGGGAGGTTTGGGTGGGTTTCCTGGTTTCAGCCGTGCTCTGCAGAGCTGCTGCCGCGCTGCGTGGAGCACTGCAGCTCAAGCACCTTGGTTTGTGTGGGAATGCCCCGTTTCTGCCTTGCCTTCTGCAAAGTGGCACTGGCCTTTCGGGCCCCGTGCCAAGGAGACACCTTTCTGGGAGCCGAGGAGCTGCTCTGGGGCAGCTTCTCCTGCTCAGAGGCGCTGCAGCCCTTTGCTTTCGAGCAAAGGCTGGGACGTCCTTGGGGAAGGTGCCAGGCCAGGCTGCCCCTGGGCTCCGTGCTCGGGTTTCCTTCTCCCTGCAGCCTGCCCAGAGCTGGGTGCTCTTAGCCAGGTGCCTTGCAGACTCCGAGGAGAGACCTCGTCACGAGGCCAGCCTCCACCCAGCTGAGAACCAAACAGTTCTGTGGACGTGACAGGCCTTATTATGGTCTGGGACTCTCCTCGCTGTCCTAATTAGCCCTTTCCCTTCCTGTGGCCCCAGGCAGCCCCTGTGAGTCTGCGGTGCTGGGAGGGAGGGAGGGTCCCCACACCGACCCCCCTGGGCCCGGCTGCACAGCAGAGCGCTTGGAAAGGTGCCCCAGCCCTCCGGAGCAGCCGGCCGGGAAGGACGTGATGAGCATTGGAATGGGTCGCGGGGACGCCGCAGCCGGGCGGGACGCCGCAGCCGGGCGGGACGCCGCCGTTCTCTGCTCATCGCTCCTGATGCAGCGTTTCTGAGGAGCGTTATTGCCACGGCGGCGGGGCACGGGCACCGGGCTGGCGCTGCCCGGCCCCGCCAACGCCTGTCTGCCACACGGCATCTCCAAGAGATCCGGCTCCGCCGCTGCCGCCACGGCTGCTCCCGAGGGTCGGGAATGCTCCCGAGGGTCGGGAATGCTCCCGAGGGTCGGGAATGCCGAGCGGCGCGCCGGGAGCAGGGACTGCTCGTGCCAGCGGCCTCCCTGTCCCCAGAGCGTCCCCAGAGCGCCACGGCGGCGGCTGTCGCCCCATCCCATCACCTTGTTCTCGAGTGGACTTTATACTGTTTCGTTTGGTTGTGTAGAATGTTTCTGAAGCTCTATTAATATTTAATGTTTGAGATGAGGCCGGGCTGCTCCACGCTCAGTGTTGTATATTTTGGAATGGCAATGTTTAGCGAAAAGGCAGCGTTAGTATTATCCCGCTCTTAGGGAACGGGACAAAAAAGCAGACTGTCTCTTTTCTTACATGAAGTGAACTTTTTGTTATGAAGTCCTAGCAGGTGTCCAGCCCTTCAGTAAAACGGTGCTCAGAACCACCCGACGTGTCCAGCTCCTCTTTGGGCCCTGCCAGACCCGGCTGAGCCGCAGCCGAAGCGACGTTCCCGGTGCTCCTGGCTGCTCCAGCGCCGCCCCTGCCTCCCGCTCCCCCATTCCTGCCCAGTTACCAAAATCCAGTTCAAAGACGCCTGGCTCCGGGTGCAAAATGTTCCAGGCGAGCGCTGCTGGGTGCTGAACGTGGCGTAAAGCTGCGCTGCAGGTTAGTTCCTTGCACGCGTCGGGCTGCCTCTGCCATGGGGCCGTGTCCTGCCCACCCGGCGCCCTGACCCGGCACTAACGGTGCTGGCACCGCGGCCTCGGAGCAACCTCGGCTCTTCCCGGAGCCGCCGGGAACAGCTGGGAACCAGCAGCCCTCCTCGCTGGCGGCGCCCGGGCCGGTCGGGCACCGAGGCCGGCGCTGCCTGGGCTAGTTCCCTTGGGAGGGAAGCGGTTAAGTGGCTTTCCTGCTTAATGAGGATGTTCCGGATGTGCCGGACGCCTGCTGGGATCAAGCAGGAGAGCCCAGGCATGAGGGGCTGCCCTGGAGCAGCTCCGGCCGCATGGGGCCCCACGAGGAACCGGGAGCACCGGAGGAACCGGGAGCACCGGCCCTTCCCGGCCCTGCCGGTGACCGTGCAGTCCCCGCTGCCCAAAGGCCGCCCGTGCCCGAGGTGCCCGCTGCGGGAACGCGCCGGGAGCGCGAGGCGGCCGGGCACAGCAGGCGGGAGCAGCTGGCGACGGGCCCGGCCTCGGCGCGCGGGGCGGCCTCGGAGCGGGAGCTGCTGCCAGGCGGATGCGCCGGGCCCCGCTCCGGGCTGTTCCGCACACTCGGAGCGGGAGGGCTCCCTTGCCTTGTGAGACCCTCAGGAAGGCAGCGGCGACGTCCACCGGAGAGCTGCGGAGCCGGGGAGCTGCGGGGTACCGGGGACCTCTCCTCCCGCGGAGGATCCCGTGGATCCCAGCGGCTCCGGCGGTAGCTCTCGGGATCAGCAAGTGCCCTGAGCCCCCCCGGCCTCTGGCAGCGCCCGGGCCCGGTGCCCCCGCGCGCCCAGCGCCGGCTCTGTTGCCTCCTGGCCGGCCCTGGCGCTGCCGGCTGCGGAAGCGCCGCCGCCTCGTGCCGAGGGCGCTGTGCTCCCTTGCTGGAAGGGCCATTTCCCACCCTTCACTTCCCACCTCTCCCAGAGCATCTGCTCTGCTGCGCTGGGATCTCCCGCTCATTTCTGCCCGAGGACCCTTCTCTGTTGCTTTTAATTCCCTTTGCGAGGCCAAATGTCTTGAAAAACCCCATTGCCATCACCTTTAGCAGGCCGCTTCGGCTCTCCCACAGCAAACAAGGGTTGCTCGGCAAGATCCCATTGATACAGGCACGCTGGCCGGAGCCAATGCCTCAGTACCAGTTAATTTCCCACCATGGGAGCCTCAGGAAAGCCCCTGGCTGCCCGGAGCGCCTCCTCCACGGGCTGAGCCCGGCTTTATCTCCCCGCGGCCCTGCCGGCCGGCGCGCGGCCAGGCCTCGGCCTTGGCGCCGAGCACGCGGCCCCTCTTCCTTCCTTCAGCCTTGCCGATAAAAGGCACCGTCGCGGCGCAGGAAGGAGCTCCGGGGCCAGCCCGGCCGCTCCGAGGGATCCCGGCAGAACCCGAGGGGTAAGCGGGGCAGCCCGGCCACGTTGGCGCTGCCGGCACGGGCAGCGATCGGGCCCTGGCCCGGGGGTCTCCGCGCGGGCACCCGGAGCCTCCCGGCGGCGCCCGCTCGGGATGAGCGCTAGGGAGCACGGAGGGGCCGGCCGGGCGCGGAGCTGCTCCCGGCCGCCCACACCTGGCCCTGGCCTCACCTTGGCGGGGCCGGGCGCGGGCAGGGCCCTCCCCTCGCCTGGCACCGGCTGCGGAGGAGGAGACAGGCGCCGCCGGGCGCCCTCCTCCAGGAACAGGCGGCCGAGCCGCGCGGCCCCGCTCGGGGCTGGGCCCCTGCCGCCCGC